AATGGGTATTTTTTTTCCCGGATGATTGTCATTAAGTGTTTCTATAGTTGAATAACAAGGATGATTTTTCATATCATTGGTCGTAGTTAAAGTCTATGTAGAAATTATGACAGAATCTCTTTATATTTTAAGTTTATTGATTTCATTAGGTTATCTAGGTACTTCATTGAAACCTTCTATTTATGATGGGTTATGTTTAATTATTAGTGAGTGTTCAGGTTGTTTAGTGGTATTAGGTTTTGGTGGGTCTTTTTTAGTATTAATAGTATTTTTGATTTATTTGGGGGGCATATTAGTTGTATTTGGCTATACCACTGCTATATCTATGGAGGAGTACCCTGAAACCTGAGTATCTAGTTGATTGATGCTGGGGACCTTATCAATTAGTATTTTTATGAAAGTGGGAATATTACTTTTAACTAACTACTTTGAGGGGATTGAGATGGTTCAATATTGGAGTTCAATAGTTTAGGTGAGTGAGTGGTTTATGATAGTGATGGGTTGGGATTAATGGCTGAAGGGGTGTTGGGGTAGCTGCTTTATATAGTTGTTCTGTATGATTAATAGTGGTTTTTTGCCTGAACTTTATTTATAGGTGTATTTATTATTATTGAGGTTACTCAGGGTAATTAAATGCTTAATAGAACTGGAATAGATAGAAGTGTGATTAGAAATGACAGGAAATATAGTTTAATTATTCCTTTTTGGTTACTAAGAGTTGTGGAGGTATAGGTGTGGAAGGTAGAGGTGATTTTGGGAATAACTTTTTCTAGTCAGATTAAGTTTAGTAGGGTTGGGGCTGTTTTAAAGCTTATGTTGAGTGTTTTGGTGGGGAGGATACAGTGTATAATTATTGGGAAGACATATAGGGAAGTCAAAAACAGGTTGGCAGGTGAGGGTTTATTTGCTGAAAAGTTAGTGGTTAGGTTGTTAAGTTCTAGTGAGATAGGAAATCCTGCAATAGTGACTAGTAATGCTATAGTTTTTAAGTATCATGATATTGTTATGATTTGGATAGGTGGTGGTGGTACGTTGTGTGAAATGAAGAAGCCTGCTATAATGCTTCCTAGAGCTACATGTTTAATTGAGTTTATTGGTAATGGGTCATTTTCATTAATAATAATTGAGAAAGGGAATTGAGGGTTAGTTATTAAATCAAAGTAGATAATTCATATACTGTAAATGGCTATTAGTGAGGTGGCTACTAATGTAATTAAGAAGGCTCAGGTGTTGGTGTAACAGGTATTAACAGCCTCAATGACTAGGCCTTTTGAGTAAAAGCCTGTGAGGAAAGGCATTTCTGTGGGGGCTAGGCTGCTGACAGTTAGGTATGAGAATGTAAATGGTATGGATTTTGCCAGGCTACCTATTTTTCAGATGTCCTGTTCATCATTTAGGCTATGGATAATGGATCCAGAGCATGTAAATAGTATAGCCTTGAAGAATGCGTGTGTACAGATGTGTAGGGAAGCTAGGTGAAGTTGATTCATTCCTAGGGTCACTATTACTAACCCTAGATTGCTTGATGTGGAGAATGCTATGGTTTTTTGATGTCATTTTGGGTTAATGTGCAAATTGCTGTGAATAAGGTGGTGATTGAGCCTAGACATAGTATGGCTGTTAAGATTGTGCTGTTGTTAGAGGTAATGGGATGAAATCGGATTATTAAGAAAATGCCTGCTACAACTATGGTGCTTGAGTGGAGGAATGCAGAGACAGGAGTTGGTCCTTCTATGGCTGATGGGAGTCATGGGTGAAGTCCGAATTGTGTTGATTTACCTGTGGCTGCGATAAGGAGTCCTATTAGTGGGACGATGTTTGGGTTGTCTATTAGGAAGATTTGTTGTAGCTCTCAGGAGTTGGAGTTTAGGCAGCATCAGGCTATTGCTAGAACGAAGCCAATATCACCGATGTGGTTATAAAGAATGGCTTCTGTGTTTGCATCGGCTCTACCACATCATCAACCAATTAGTAAGAAGGATATGATATCGACACCTTCTCAGCCGATGAAAAGTTGGAATAAATTGTTGGCTGATGTAAGAATAATTACAATAATAAGAAACAGTAATGAGTACTTGATGAATTGATTTCGGTGTGATTCTAAGTACCATGTGGAAAGTTCTATAATTGATCAGGTGACAAATAGAGCTACTGGGTAGGAAAATAATTGAGAAGAAGTCAAATTTGAAGCTTAGTGATAATTTAATAGTGCTAATAATAATTCAGTGTCAGTTGCCGATTAGCAATTCTGTGTTGTAGTTAAAAAATGAGGTTAGTGGAATAAGGCTAATAAAGAATATATATATGATGTGTAAGTTTACATAGTTGGGGAAACATAAATTTAATTGTATTAGTAAATTAAATAAGTATAGGGAAAACGAGTAACATGAAGATAAGTAAAATTGAGGATGTAATTGTGTTCATTACTTTCATTTGGAGTTGCACCAATGTGGCCCAAAATCATAACAGAAAGCCCCTAATGGCCCTGGGTGTCACAACATTGATGGAACTAGGGGTGGCCGGGACTGCCTAGGCACCTCATCCCTGGTGATTTTACAACAAGTAATGGAAATAATTCTCTCACAGTTGGCACCGACCTTAGAAAAGACAGAGACTGCATTACGTTATTTACAAAAGTCTTTGGATTCCTTAGCAGGGGTAACCTTACAACATAGGAGAGGCTTTGACTTGCTGTTTATGGAACAGGGAGGAATTTTCAGGGCACTTGAGGAAGAATGTTGCTTCTGTGCAGACCATTCAGGATAGTTACAAGAACCCTAGATGAGTTAAGAAAGATATTGATTTGTTTAAGTCAAAGACCCCCTGTGAGATCTGGTTTAATGGGTCTCCATTGCTTGCCACACTCCTCTCTTCCCTAATTTGGCTGATGACTATTTGTTTATTGGTATGTCCTTTTGGCCCATGCATTCTCCAAAGGCTGAAACAAGCATTCCAAAAACAGATACAACAGGTACAACTCATGGCCCTTCAAGTACATTATGATAGGCTCGATACATCTCACCCCATGGATAAACTCTCAGTTTGAGGGTATCAGGCCGAAACTCCAGATAGGGGTGGCACTGACCCATACTCTCTCCCCAGTGGGCTATTCTGGCTTGGTGACTGGGGTAGAGGATGGGATATAAAACAAAAAAGGAGAAGATGTTGGACCAAAATTATCTCAGGGCCTATACACCAAGGCCTGTAGGACAGGGAAAGCCTGTCTCAAGTTGAAGGATAGTCTCAAAGCTACCAAGTGAGGATATGACAGCAAAATCTAGGTAGATGCCCCTCCAGCCAGAGGGAGGGCTTGGCTGTTTCTCATAGGCTGGAGGTACCCCCACATCACACGATGTCACTTAACCTATATAAGATGGCACTCACAGTAATAAAAAATTGAGTTCCTGCTTTGACTTGCCTCCCTGTCGTGTCTGATTGTCTTGCGTCATGGGGCTGCAGAACAGGCAGATTGCACACTTACCTTTCCCTGGGGAATAAGGCCAAGGAGGCTTGGCAGTAAGGTAGTTTCTAAAACTATTGGTCGGTTTAGGGGCACAAAATTCCTAACAAAGGGCCACTAGCAAATGACAAGGTGTCTTCAAGGACAAGAAGCTCCTAGGAACATCTGGACCTTGTTAAATTTTAGGGCCCTGCTCCCTAGCTCCTTAATTGGCTATTTTAAGGGCATCTGTTCAAATTCTGCTGTCACAGCACATTTATTGAGCTGAGATCTGCCCCAACTCATTATACGACTAAGATGAAGCCCCTTCTTTAAAATGGAGTTTGCAAAGTCAGGTAGGTCCTCATAGGGCCACATAAAGAAACTAATTTGAAGGGAATATGAAGGGCACCCTAGGAAACGGCACCCACTTTTAAGTCTTTCTCAGCTCTACCTGGTCTCTCCGAGACTCCTTTATTCAGACTGGCAGCTTCTCAGTCCCTGGAGTGATTTCTTGTAGAATATTAGTTGAAGTTATGTTACATTCTTTTATGCTGCAGAATATTTTTTCCCATTCTTTTTACATTTTTATTAAAAAGAAAAAATTCACTTATTAATAAGTGATACTTAATGGTAGTCATTAAATTAATGTTTGAAGGTTGGGTGCACAAGTTCTCATGCATACACATATGTATTATGTATATGTATTTCCTTTTCAACATATTCAGTAACTCCAGTTCAATGTGGAATCCATTGCCCTCTTCTGGTCTGTATGGGAACTGCATGCTTGTTTTTCTTAGCCAACAGACAAACTACCCATACACATAAGTTAAAAAGCACATGAATCTGAAAACAATGTGTGAAATAGGTAGTCAAGGTAAGAGCACTGTAAAAGACACTGTGTCTCAATGTGTTTTAGAAGGTTATGTTCTTTGCATTGCCATTATAACCAGTGCTATAATTCAAGGAAAACAGAAGCAGATAGCTTTGGGTTTCCCTATTTTTTTATACTCCAGAAATGAAGGTCCTCATTTCCTGAGATGCATTAGAAAACATAGGTTAGCCAGGCGGTGTGGCACAGGTCTTTAATCCCAGCACTCAGAAGGCAAAGGCAGGTGAATCTCTGTGAGTTCGCGGCCAGCCTGGTCTACAAGAACTAGTTCCGGGACAGGCTCCAAAGCTATAGAGAAACCCTGTCTTGAAACACCAAAAAAAAAAAAAACCCAAAAGTACAAAAAGAAAATGCAAGTATATTTCTCAACAATATTATATGTACAATCTCATCATTGACAAGTGTATATCTAGATCTGTTTTTTTTGAGTAGCTAATATGTGACGTCAGGTGACAAATATGGATCTTTTTTGCAACATGAAGTGGGTATCTATGGAGTAGGCCATGACATCACATTCAGGACACCTCCCCTTTGTAGCCCTGTCTGGCTGGGAACTTACAACGTGGCCAAAGACACCTGGAGACTGAACAGATAGATCCATCTCTGCCTACTGAGTTTTGCAGTTCCAAGAGCGTATCACTACGCTTGATTAAAAATCTAGTTTAAGAATGAAGAGTTAGAAATTGCTTTTTTATTTATGAAAATACAGTCATTTGACTCAATGGGGTTTTAAACAGGGGATGCAGTATATGCAGTATATATAGCCTTAGCAAATATCAAATAAAAAACAAGAACTAAAGAACCAAGATATAACAAAACCTCAAATGATAACAAAGAAAACAAAAATCTTAAGGCAAACAAACCTAAACCCAAAAATCAAGCAAAGAAATTTACACTAAAGAACATTTTCTTCATGCAGACTGAGTAGCACGGTTCCACCCTATGGTCAGCTTTGGGCACAAATAGGAAGGCAGGCACAGATTGTCATAATCTTTTCAAGACAAGTGCAGCCAGGCCACTTTGGGGCTTTGAAGGTCAGGCACCCAGTTATCTTAGACTCATTCACAGCCACAAGCTTTCAGAGTAACTGGGCAGAGCGATATCCTCCCTCCTTGCTGCTGTGCCTCACTTTTTGGGGGATGTCTGCTTCTTCATCATTCTTGATGGGGTGTTCTGTGTGCCAAGCTTCTTTCTGAGGGTTTTTACTCCAGAAGCAGTGAGCCAACAGGCACAAGGCTCAGATTAGGGATAGATCACCTATAGATAGGAGGTTGATATTTGCCTCAATGCTGAGTCTACAGTTAGAAAGGCATGTCTTGGTCTGAGGAGGTCTTGATCTTATAGTGGAGCAATGGGTTTGGGTTGTCTGTGGCTTCCTTCGGCCTCCTCAGTCCTCCAAAGGGTGCTGTGAGAGAAGAAAAGGCGATCAGATTCAGAAGCTCCTTACTCTGGATCCTTACACTGGCTAGACACAACCAGGGTCTATTCACACATAGGAAGCCAGAGTCAAGGAAGAACATCCACCCCACAAGTCCCATGGGTGCTGGGATGGGATGCAATGGTGGCTCACCTGCCTGTGCCCCTTAGTGCTCCTGCTGCAGCAGCTCTGTTGGCGGGAGGCTCTCATCCTGTGCGGAGGGTTGCTCTGGCTCACGTTGGAGATTCTCTGACCTGGAGGAGGAAGGCAGTTAGGGGATCTGCCATGTCAGCTGCCAAGCTGTGACCTCACAAAAATTAAATTATGCCTGACACTCAACATTGCTCTTTTGACAGTTGTCATTGTTTGTATCCCTAAGAAAGGAATGTCACAGAGCAGCTGGGCCTTGAATTTCTTCCAGCCTTTAACAAGTGTCACAAGTTGCTATGGGTGCGGTATGTACTGCGTGCTATGAGAGAGGACAGGACTTTCGCCTGCAGTCCAGGGACATCAAGATGATCAAAGTAATAGCCTGTTAAAGGCATGGATGACAGCATACCAAAGAAACACACAGTGTTCATGGGGGGCGTGCTCCTGGAACACCTCATTTTAGAGACAGAACACAGCCTTGCAGCTTAGACAATGGGACAACATCATGGAGCATGCTCTTGTCTCCTACCTGGAAGGAGCCTTGTACCCAGGCAATGAAATATGGAGCCTGTCATGGTGGAGCCACCTTTCCTGAGATGTGTATCTGAGAACATGGGCCCTTCAGGGGCTCTTTAGTTAAAGAAAATACCCTCGTTTCCCTTAGGACCCCAAGTGGGAATCTACATTCTGGTTCTCTAGAGGATTCCTTTGCTCAACACTCTGTGAAGTTCTGACCAATCCTGCAGCAGAGACATCTGTCTGGGTTCATCCTGTCAATGATGAACCTATTATATCCATAATACAATTTACATGGCAAATGGCCAAAGAATAAAGACAGCCAGGGTTACATCTAATCGTGACCAAGGGTGGGACTTCAACCCTACAGGTTATGACCCTCAGTGAAAATGTCATTTTATTCAGGCATGGTAAGTAACACCTTTACTGCCCAAGGCTGCAGAGGCCAAAGAAATCAGAGCTCTGTGAGTTCAAGGAAAGTCTTCTTGGAATAAATCAGAGAACTCAGAAGGGAGCGAGGAGAACACAATTCTGCAGACACACTGAATATCAATCATACGATTTCCTAGAGGGAAGTTCTTCCCTGGACCTGAAGTGTTATTTCCCTGGTGATGACTGGGAGTGTTGCCCATAGGCAAAGCCCACAAAAGGCAAAGTTCTGAGGTAGAAGAGTCACACCTGCACCCAACTACCAACTCCCAGCCTGGTCTCAAACCTCATCTTGGAGACAGTCACGTGATGCTGCAGATTTACTGCCAAGTTCTTTTCCTGGTTGACGAGCTCCCTCTGCTTCACTGGGGACTGCAGACTTTCCTCCAGTCTCTGCTTCTCCTGTTCATTAGAAAATTGTGTCCTTAGTGGAGAGTTGAGCATGGGCAAGAATATTCTCTTACGTAAGTGTGAGCATACACAGAGGGTCCAAAGAGCTTGCTGGTCAGTCATTCCTGCCAAAACAGCAAGCTTCTTGGAAGGGTAGAGACTGACAAACCCAGTGGTCTCCTCTAGCTGCCATCCATATGCATGGTGCATGGTACCATTCACTGACCTCCAAACCCACAGAGAAGGACAGAGAGAGAGAGATAGAGAGAGACAGAGAGAGAGACAGAGACAGACAGAGACAGACAGAGACACAGAGAGACACACAGAGAGGTAGAGAGAGCACACATGAGGTGAGGATAAAACAATATCATGCTAGATAAACATGTGAGTTTAGACTGGGAGCACAGCTCTTTCACAAGAGTCTGGTGAATTTGCTCCCCATCTCCTGGGACTAAAACTGCACAGGCTGTTTTGCTCTACTTGGCCAGACTATGTTGAGGTGGTCGAAGAACTTTTGGTTTGGAAGTCTCAGATCTCCCACCGCAACTCTCCCTTTCCACATCCCTGACAGCAGGTCACTTCCATACTGTTAAGTTCCATGAAGGGAGAACGTGCCCAGGAGACACATAGTAAACACTGATTGGAAAACTCCCACAGAGCTTCCTGTCAGTGTAAATCAGGTGTTGTGCATGGTGAAGAGACCACCTTAGGATGCAGAGAATAGGAGGAAGGAAGCTCGTACGTCACCCAACAAAGGGAATCACTCATTAGACACTGGCCGGGGGCTCTTCTGCTTGCAAACTGGCCCCACCCCGCCATGATGTCATATGAACCCTGTAAAGCAAAGGAGGCACAGGACCTAGAGCTCACTCCCTCAAGTCTGTACATAGCACCCCTCCCATCATAATGACCTGTAGGTTTATGATGTGTGATCACCCCACCTCCCTCATTGGACTGCAGCTTCAAGCAGAGCAGCAGGGGTTGTTTGCCATTTGATTCTCACAAGAGACTCATGCCCAGAAGCACTGATGCATGAACATAGAAATGAACACGCGGACGTCATGAAGGTTGTGGGGAGTGAATGTGTGGATGAATGAAGTGATGAGTTGAAGCACAAGTGGGTTGATGGGCAGACAAGCTAATGTTACACGAGGAAATGGTGCTGGACCTAACCCTGACCCAGCTGCTTGTCCCTACCTGATGCTCCTGGGTCTGCAGGTCTCTGTTCTCTTCCTCTTGGTCCTGAAAGACCAAGTGCAGATCCTCCAAGTGCTTCTGCAGCAGGACCCAATACTCCAGCAATTTCTTGTTCTCCTGCTTCAGCGAGTCCACCTTATCCTCCATCTGATACTTCTCCATCAGGAGCTGGCACTGCAGATTGCTGGAAGGAAGCACCCTCTGCATCGTTAGCCCCTGTCATCATCCTCCTGCCACCCCTGCCTCCATACCCCATCAAACCCACTGGTCCCTAGGTTTCTGAGGGAGACAGAGACAAGAGTCCTAAAAGGCCAAAAGTAGAGAACAGAGAATTCCAGAAAAATCAAACTATTTCTGAAAACTCCAACAACCAAAGAAATCCAACAATCTCTACTAACAAAAGGGGTCCCCACCTGCTTTTACCTGACCGTGGTAAATGGGTCAACATCACCAGGAAAGGGACAAATACCTTCTGATGTAGGGTTAGAGATCCAAGTGGTGGAGAGGTCCATGGCAAGAGGGCCCTGCCCGAGACCCTGCCTGATACACCGCTCATGTTGCAATTTGTTCTTCTATCTAGAGAAGGGGTTCTCAACCTATGGGTCATGACTTCTTTCATGATGGAATTACTCTTTTACAGGAGAGGTATTTTAGATATCCCGCACAACAGATATTACATCATGCTTCATAGCAGTAACAAAATTATAGTCATAGAATAGCAGGATAAATAATTTTACAGAACGACGTCACAAAAACATGAGGAATTGTATGAAAATGGTCACAGCAATAGGAAAGTTGAGATCCACTGATGTAGAGGCTACTAAGTATGACCATACGGGGCTGGGTGCAACTCACAGGCTCTTTCACAGTTAGCAAAACTGAGTGCAAGAGACACAAGTCCAAGAGCTGCTTGTTAAGAGGCAGAAAGGCTGGGACCAGAGCCGTAGACCCCACAGTCCAGAGACAAAGAAAGGCAAAGATGGCCATCCCACAATGCTGTGGTCCCTTGTACGACAGGCACGTACCAATAGAAGAATGACTCCTTGGCGAGCTCATTGAATTCCTCTGTGACTTCGTTCTTCTCATCCTCCAAGTGCTGCAAGTCTGACATGACTCTCTCATGCTTTCTCTTCAGCTTCTCAAATAAAGGATTTGGCTTGTGATAGGGCCTGGTCCTGGAATCAAAGAACTCCTTGAACAAAGTCCTCACAGATCACATGAATTCAGGCTGTGTTCTAGACTAAGGCAGCACAAATGGATGTCACATCCTGTTTCCTATGTACTGGGAACTTCTGGTGCTTATTAAATATGCTATTCTGACCCTAGGCCAGCAGATGCTGTGTGTTTAGATGACAATTGGTGGCTGCATGAGCTCTCTCAGTAGGCCGGCTAAAATAACTAAGATGTTCGCTAGTTCAAAGGGATACAAATAGGAAATAAAGAAGTCAAATTCTCACTATTTGTTGATGATATGATAGTATACATAAGTGACCCCAAAAATTCTAGCAGGGGATTCTACAACTCATAAATACTTTCAGTAATGTAGCAGGATAAACGATTAACTAAAAAAATCAGTAACCCTCCTTTATATGGATGATAAAGGGGTTGAACAAAAATCGGAGAAACATTACCATTCACGATAGGCACAAACAACATAAAATATCTTGAGGTGACTTTAACCAAGCAAGTGAAAGACTTGTATGACAGGAACCTTTAATCTTTGAAGAAAGAAAGTGAAGTAGACACCAGAAAATGGAAAGATCTCCCATGCTTTTGGGTAGGTAGAATTAACATAGGAAAACTGGCAATCTCAACAAAAGCAAACCTTCAATGCAATGCCCATCAAAATCTCAGCAAAATTCTTCACAGACCTTGAAAGAAAAATACTCAGCTTCATATGGAAAAACAATAAACCCAGCATAGCCAAAGTAATCCTGTATAATAAAGGAACTTGCTGGCATCACCTTCCCTGACTTCAAATTCTACTCTAGAGCTACAGTGATGAAAACAGTGTGGTATTGGCATACACATAGACAGGTGGGCGTTTGAAATCAATTCATAGATCCCGATATTAACTCACATACCTATGAACACCTAACACTTGACAATGAAACTAAAATTGTACAATGGAAGAAAAGCCTCTTCAACAAATGGTGCTGGCATAACTGGATATAAACATGTAGAAGAGTACAAATAGACCCATATCTATCACCCTGCACAAAACTCAAGTCCAAATGGATCAAAGATCACAACATTAAACCAAACACCCTGAACCTCATAGAAGAGAAAGTGGGAAACACATTGGCACAGGAGAGCACTTCCTAAATATAAATCCAGTAGCACAGACACTGAGAGAAATAGCTAATAAATGGGACCTCCTGAAATTGAGAAGGTTCTCTAAAGCAAAGGACAGGGTCACAAGTCAAAACAACAGTTTACCGAATGGAAAAAGATTTTCACCAACCCCACATCAGACAGTACTGATCTCCAAAATATATAAAGAACTCAAGAAATTAGACATCAAAATTCCAAATAATCCAGCTTAAAAATGGGGTACAGATCTAAACAGAGAATTCTCAACGGAAGAATCTCAAATGGCTGAAAGACACTTAAGGAAATTTTCAACATCCTTAGCCACTAGAGAAATGCAAATCAAAATGAGTCTGAGATAACATCTTAAATCTGTCAGAATGGCTAAGATAAAAACACCAATGATAGCTAATGCTGGAGAGGATATTGAGCAAGGGGAACACTCCTGCATTGCTGGTGGGAATGCAAACTTGTACAACCACTCTGGAAATCCGTGTGGTGGTTTCTCAGAAAATTGGAAATGAACCTAGCTCAGGACCCAGCATCACCACTCTTGGACATATGCCCAAAGGATGCTCAATCATACCACAAGGACTTTTGCTCCACCATGTTCATAGCAACACTATTTGTAATAGCCAGAACATGGAAAAAAACCTAGATGCTCTTCAACCAAAGAACGATAAAGAAAGTTTACACAATAAAGTACCACGCAGTGGTAAAAATAACATCTCAAAATTTGCATAAAATGGGTTGATCTAGAATAAACCATATTGAGTTAGGTAAACCAGGCCCAGAAAAAATAATATATAAGCACTCATAAGTGATGTTTAGACATAAAACAAAGAGAAAAACCAGCCTACAGTCCACAGCCCCTGAGAATCTAGACAACAAAGAGCACCCTAAGAGAGACATACATGGAGCTACATAGGAAGGAGAAAAAGACAAGATCTCCTGAGTAAATTAGAAGCATATGGGTGACTGGGAGGGTATAATGGAAGAGGGGATAAAGGGCGGTGAGCAGAGAAAATGTATAGCACAGTAAAAATCACAAAAGGGGTTCCCTAGTGTTTACACCACAGGTCTGTGCCCTGTAAACCTGTGATGATGTTTATCCTATCTCAAACATAAATTCTCACGCCTGGTGCCTGTCACAGTGGAGGCCATAATCACATCATGAGCATTTCTGAGGATGTCATGACAGCTTTATAAACTCCCCAAGGGGATATCTGTACAGCACTAAGGTGAGCACACTGACAAGTGTAATGCTCCAAGCGGGGCTCTCAGTGCTCACTGCGGGTATCACCTGGGAACTGTGAGACAGGCAACTGTCAAGCCCACCCTCAGACCCTGACTACAGGGTCTGGATGAAAAGTACGCACAAACGTACAAACACATAGACAAATATGCAACACACGTGTGTGTGTTTAATGCCTGTGTGTGTGAGAGAGAGAGAAAGAGAGAGAGAGAAGAGAGAGAAGAGAGAGAAGAGAGAGAGCGAGAGAGCGAGCTATCAGTGGGATGCTAAATGAATGCATATAGGTGTGTCATCTCAGAGAGGACCAAAAGAAGCAGGGATCAGTACCAGGCCTTGCAGTAACACACTAAAATGTGGGACCAGACCTTTCCAGCTGCTACTTGGAGCATCCAGCACACAATGTCTTGCCAGGCAAACAAAAATCACATCAGGTAACTTCTTACACAAGCTACCATTTGACAGGGTCTCTACAAGTGCATGCTGGGAACTCACACTGTATTGTCTCGATCTCTTAATTATGTGACTCAGGCTCTGGCATCATTTGGAGGAAGCAGAATAGTCTATGTTCCCATCTCGCTCCTGCCCGGGTTTCTGGTTCTTCTTCTGGGAAGCGTGAAGGCATGGTGCTGAGCCAAGGGACACCCTGAAGGTGCAGCCTCTCAGAGCCCAAATCTTAGATGAAATAAATTTAGGGTGAAAGTGTGGAAACAAGACAATCACCATGGAGTTTGAAACAAGGAATACCTATTGTCCGTGGGTCCTTCAGTGATGGAGATCAGGTGATCCCGCAGCTCATTTCTCTCTCTGGTCATTTGCTGTAGCTGAGTGGTCAGACTCTTCACCTTCTGCTTCTTGGTGAGGACGGTTTGGGGAGATGGTTGCTCTCCAGCGGCCCCTGTGGGTAGATGAACAGCAGTGAACTTGCATTGTGACAACACACAGAGGATGGACAGATGACTCTGAGCCCTAAACAAACCTCTGAGAAAACTTGTATGCCTGTGACCAGTGACAACTCAGTAGAATCTGACCCAGGCTTAAGATGTCCCTGCACGGGATCTCAGCTCTCTCATAAATGAAGGGAGTTGGGTGTCTCAGTCAGCTGGTTTCCTCTGCCCCCCCTAGTGCTTCAGGTAAACAAAGGAAGAACCTCCTCAGGCCCCTTCACAGCTGCAGAGTCTCCATTCAACTTGGCTAAAGAGTCCACAGTGTTGTGCATTTCCAAGTCAGGAAGAAATTAGCATAGTTCAAAGTCACTCTGATCATTTAGAGATTCCTTGAAATATCCTAACAGGTCATCTAAGCACACGACTATAAAGGGAGAAGCCATATAGGAGCAGAACATGGTCACGAGAAGCACCATATCACCTCACTGCCATCTCAGGGCACACAGAGGTGGACAGTGCCCATTGGCGTTGGAGTACAGTGATGCCCCGTCTTGATCTGGGCACACTTGCTTGTCCCTTCTTATGCTGGTTCTATTTTAATGCTGGTTTCTCATCAACCCTTACCCTCCTGTGAGACTGAAAGCCAAAAGTTCCCAGCATAAAGCTTTTGTTTACCGGTTCCTGGCTTCAAGTTGAGACAAATTGTTATCCTGGAATCATTGACTTTCAGGAGCCATGTCTTTCAGAGAAGTCCAATTGCTACCCCAAAACCCCAGTTCCTATGCCCCATTACTGGAAATGCTACCAAAAGCCCACGTCCTTCAGGGAGCTCTCCACCTTCTGCCCAGGACTTATGGTGCCTTCCTCTGAACCATTTGTTTCTTGATGGTTTACACTGAGGCTCAAGACCATCTTTCTTCTGCCTCTCTCTGGTCTCGCTTCCCTCTCCATTCTCTCTTCCTACGAGACGCCTCAGTCTTGCCAACATGATTGTGGGTAAACCGTAAAAGCACTGAAGGAACTCTCCAAGGGCAGTTGGTGTTGCTACAACACAGATGACATCAGAAAATTCCGGGGGTCTCTAGGATACAATAGAATGTCCAGGGAAGGGACCGCTGATGTCATGGGAAAATAACATGGCCTCCCTGCTAACCAACTTTCCTCATAACTTGCCTGGAGTCTGGTTTCTCTTCCCAGGAATCTTCTGGGACACAAGGCAAACCCTAAGCACCCCCTTCTTCAAAATTCTCTCTTATTGATTTGAAATACCTTGGTACTTCCCAAGTGGGAAACTGACTCTTATCTCCTACTAAAATTATATGTCCACAAGGTAATGGTTTTATAGGAATTTATGGCTGGTATAATTCTCCACAATTACCAACATCTCCCTATTTTCAGGGAAGTATACACTTAATGATGGGGAGGGATCTTCTTTAAAAACTTCCTGGTAAAGAGCCTACAGACATTAGAGTACCAGCAGATTAAAATAGTTCTGGTATTGGCCATTTTGACAGGTGAGATGTTATCTCAGAGTTCTTTGGATTTGCATTTCTCTGATGATTAAGGATATTGAACAGTTCTTTATTGTTTCTCGGCTATTTGCGATTCTTTTCTTGAGAATTCTCTGTTTAGATCTGTACCCCTTGTTTTAATTGGATCGTTTGTTATTTTAATGTCTAGATTCTTGTGTTCTTTATATATTTTGGATATCACCCCTCTGTCAGCTGTGGGATTTTAAATATTTTCCCATTCTGTAGGGTGCTGTTTTGTCTTTCTAACTGTTTCTTATCGGCGAATCAATCCCACACCAGTTATGTTTTAAGGGGTTATTTATTTTGGGGGGTAAAACTTACATACACCATAAACCGTCGGGAAGGGAGCCTAGTCGCAGGAGCCGGGAGCAGGAGCCAGGAGCAAGCACCGGAACCAAGAGCCGGAACCAAGAGGGCCTTATCCGGAACTGCTTCTCTTTTTAAGAGAGAAATATACTACGCCCCAGTGGGCTGGTATTTCAGCAGCTATTGGCTGACGGAGCGGAAGTCGCTCCCCGCTGCACTGTGGGCTCCTGCTTCAGTGATTATTGGTTGAGGCAGCGGAAGTTACTCCCACAACAGTTTCTTTTACCTTACAGAACATTTTCAGTTTTAGGAGGTCACATTCATTAATTTTTTATCTCAGTGTCTGTGATACTTGTGTTCTATTCAGGAAGTTGTCTCCTGTTCCAAAGTGTTCAAGGCACTTCCCTTTTTTGTCTTCTGTCAGGTTTGGTGTACCTGGGTTTATGTTGAGGTCTTGGATTCATGTGGACTTGAGTTTTGTCCAGGGTGATTGATATGACTCTATTTGCATTCTTCTGCATGCTGACATCCACTATGCCAACAGCATTTGTTGAAGATGCTTTCTTTATTCCATTGTATAACTTTGGGTTCTTTGTCAAATTAAGTTGTTCATATGTGTGTAAATTTACATCAGGGTCTTCAGTTTGATTTCATTGATCTACCTATCTATTTTTATGCTGATACAAAGCTGTATTTATTACTATAGTTCTATAGTAGAGCTTGAAGTCAGGGATGGCAATACAACTGTAAGTTCCTTTATTGCACAGGACTGTTTTTGCTAAAATAGTTTTTTTTTTTGCTTTTCCACATGTACCTGGGTATTGTTTTTTGAGGTCTGTGAAGAGTTGTGTTGGAATTTTGATGTGTATTGCATTGAATCTGTAAATTACTTTTGGCAAGATTGCCACTTTTACTCTGTTAATCCTACTGGTCAATGAACATGGGAGGTCTTTCTACTTTTTAATATCTTCTTCAATTTCTTTCTTAAATACATAAAGTTCTTGTCATACAGGTCTTTCACCTGCTTGGTTAGAGTTACCCCAAGATATTTTATATCATTTGTGCAGTTGTGATGGGTGTTAACTCTCTGATTTTTTATTCAGGCCATTTATTGTTTGTATAGAAGGGAGCTATAAATTTTTTAGTTAATCTTATATCCAGTCACATCACTGAAAGTGTTTATCAGCTGTAGACATTCCCTGGTAGAATTTTTGGGGTCACTTATATATACAATCATATTTTCTGCAAATAATGATACTCTGACTTCCTCCTTTCCGATTTGTATCTCCTTGATCTCCTTCAGTTTTCTTATAGTTCTAGGTAGAATTTCAAGTACTCTATTGAACAGAATTGGAGAGTGTACAGTCTAGCCTTGTCCCTGATTTTAGCAGAATTGCTTTGATTTTTGTCTCTCTTTACTTTGATATGGTTGTCAGCTTGTTCTATATTGCCTTTATTATGTTTAGGAATATTCTATGCATCTCTGATCTCTTAAAGACCTTCATCATAAAGGGGAGTTGGATTTTCTCAAGGGCTTTTTTAGTAACTAATGATTGCCATGGACCGGCTCAGAGGAGCCACTCAGACAGTGGGAGAAGCAGGGTCATGGTACACAGGAAGGCACAAGTTTGGCGAATGACAGACAGACACAACACACAAGAGAGTGGTTGGAATCTGCCGCGATTTTACTGAATTAATGTTTTCATTATATAGTATTCAAACAAAGAACAAAAAAAAAGAAGGCCATGTATCATTGGTTGGCACAGTATGAAAGCTTCTTTTAGTTAGATCAGCAGTATGTAATAAAAGCATATTATCACGGACAGGTGTTAGGCATAAAGCATCATTAGAAGAGGAAATCTTGTTCTTGGGAACGTGACCCTCAGACAAGTGGTTTCATCTTATGAATAGAAAGTTTCTGTCTCATTATTGCTATGATGGCCTTTCCTCTTTCTAATCTTTTCTTTATCTCATCTAGTGACCAAATATGCCTAATCAGTTCTCTGCACTTGCTGAAATATACTTTCTTGTACCTTCTTATGCAGCGGACGCCATGGGGGTTGGGATCTAGCAAGCCTATCCATAAAGTTCAGAGTATAATATAACAGTCTTTGTCTGTCAACATTAACCCATCTGTTCCCTTGCTCATCATACACCCCATGTATGACAAAGGTTCTGCTGTAGTCTTATACATTCTCATTCTGTGCTCCCCTATCCCAGAGCTGTTCCTGAAGAGATAATCCTTGTATTGTAGATATGGAGAATATCATTATTATAAATGAGGTTGTGCAAAGCCCATCTCCTGCATAGCCAGCTAATCGAGAAACCCATCTATGCCCCAAGGGTGGCCAATACTGGACTGTTTGCCATTGACCTCCAGGGAGCCTAGTCCCATAGGACACGTAGCTCCTGTCCAGCATAATGACATATGTCATGTCACACAGACGACGCTGGAGTTGGTGTGGCAAATGATAGTATCATGTGTTTTTGTCTTTCAGTTTGTTTATATGGTGTATTACATTGACAGATTTTTGCATGTTGAACCATCCCTGCACCTCTGGGATGAAGAATACTACAACACGGTGGATTTTTTTTGATGTGTCTAGATTCAGTTTCCCAATATTTTGTTGAGTAATTGTTCATCAAGATTTATGAGGGAGATAGGTCTGTAATTCTCTCTCTCTCTCTTTTTTGTTGCATCTTTGTGTCGCTTGGGTAGCAGTGTAACTGTAGCCTCAAAAAAGACTTTGTCGATGTTCCTTCTGTTTCTGTTGTGTAGAACAATTTGGTGAGTATTGGTATTAGCTCTTTTTTGGAATTCCTGTACAATTCTGTACTGAGACCATCTGTCCCTGGGCTTTATTTCATTAGGGGACCTTTAATGACCTCTTCTATTTCCTTAGGGTTATGGATATATTTCAATTTTTTATCTTGTCTTGATTTAATTTTGGTATGTGGTATCTATCAAGAAAATTGTTCATTTCTTGTATATTTTTCAATTTTTGGAGTACAGGTCTTTAAAGTATGACCTAATGATTCTCTGGATTTCCTTAGTGTCTGTTGTTATGTTAGTGATCTTTTAAATCTGGATGTTCTCTCTCTGCCTTTTAGTTAGTTTGGATAAGGGTTTGTCAATCTTATTGATTTTTCTCAAAGAACCAATCTTTGTCTCATTGATTCTTTGTGTTGTTTTCTTTG